AGCATTATGTTTTTATGGCATTTAGTAGTTGTGGAGTGGTGCACTAATCCGGTGGTCAGATCATTTCACTTGTGGGAGTGTGACATTTATCAACTTCAAATGAAATAATACTTGCTCCTTGGCTGTAAGTTATAAAATCTACAGTCTTCATGTCAGCAACTTTGTCCTCTGCTGCCAGCATTTGATAAAACCTATTTGTTATTATTGCAAGTAACATTAGCCAATAAATATTTATTTATTTATTGTAGATTTATTCTTCCCTATCAGAATTTCTAGCAGAAATTAAGAATAATTGATTTACACAATACTTATGTTTATTGTGTAATACATGCACAGGTACAATTCTATATATTTTTGAAGCTGGAACTTCACATTTTGGATTCTAACCTACAGATACAGTTTCTACTAATTGCAATAATTCAGAAGGATATACTCCATTTAGCTTTTGTGAAGTATTATTATTCTAATGGCATTTTAGACTGGAAATTTATCCACGTTCTGCGCTATGAAAGTACACCAAAAATTGTGTGCTGTTCATAGGACATTAGCAGTTTAATTGCTGAAAAATGTCCAAGTACATCCAGGAGAATTCATTTTCTTGCATTTTCTATTGCATTAATTCAGGTATCCATCCAGAGATGTAGCTTAGGAGAATAACATACATGGCTCATGAGGTAAAAATAATTGCTGAAAATCAATTATTATTTTTAGCTTTCTTATATGTATCGTAAATCAACATGTGAACATTTTGGTTTGGTTTTTCTTTTAACTCTCACCCAATTGAATATTTTCTTAAAATGCTGAAGTTATGACATGATTCACTTGATGATGAACTGTGTGCCATCCATTCTTGTTCTTAGGCTGAAAAATAAGAAAAATAAGAGAGCGGATGGATGAGAAACAGATTGTTGTCTTGCAAAAATACAAATCAGATGTAACTCCATTTCTTTCAGCATTTCTCAAAGTGAAAGCAAGCATGCAATCAGATATCTCCCCCCGCTTGCTCTCCTCTGCCTTTCTCCTCTTCCTGCTGTGATTCAGGTCCTCATTTAACAAACAGGTAATGCCTTTGTGGCTGTGATGGCCATTTCCTGATCCTCACACAAAGATCACATCCTTGGACTTTTATGGGGGTTTGTGTTTCTGCATCCCATGCAGCAAATTCTAGTTTTAGTTTGCTCTTTTAGTTTGTGGGGATTGAAAACCAACCACAGGAAGGAGGGTAGCTGATGAAACAAGGAGTTCTATTTATTTATCATATTTTCTCCATAAATTTTATTTCTGTCAAGATTGATTTTTCCTTTCAAAATGTAAGTTCAACAAGCACGCATTAATGGTACATTTTTGAGAAATGTATACAATATAACAGTATGACAGAATGAAGTTAACACTTGGGATCATTGCAAAAAGAGTAAATAGATGCTTTCAAGAGATTATTATTTTTTTTAACCTTCTGCTAATAAATCTGATTAGAAAGGAAAATTGATGTCACTGTCAGATATAGCAGGCAGTGGAGCTCCCTGACTGACACAACTATAACTAACAACCAATACATCCACAATTTATGGAAATAATCACTGTGGAGGGCTTAAAGTTTTCCCAGACTTGGTCTCAGCTGAAAAAAATTATTTATTTTTTTTCCCACAACTTACCCAGAATCTGTATGGTTTCAAAGAACAGGGAACGCTCCTGGAGTGCTGTGAACCCTTTGATGTTGCAGAGGCAGCTGAGTCAATTCAGCACTGAGGGCACGTTTGGGCCATTTAACCCCACAGCCTAGCCTGGTATGGCCAGCTCTGCCTCTGTCGTGTTTCTTTCAGGTTCATGGGGCAGAATGCAAAGCAAAACTTTCAATATAGCCCAAAAGCACTGAGCATGAATGCTGCTGCATTTCCCTCGGTGGAAAATGTGTGTGAGAATCCAGTGTGCTTGAGAAAATCCAAAGTGGGGATTCAGACAAAGGAAAAATAAATGTCAAGTTCTATGCCAAAGCTTCCTTTAGCTGTTTCAGAGTTGTATATATTCCTAGCTCATCCTCTTACAGAGTGGATTGGTAACACACACAGCTGGAACTGTAATGGAAGTTCAAGAAAATCATCTTTATATCTTGTCAGCATCTCACTGTCCAGGGTTCCTTTAGCGTACAGTAACCACACAGAATAAAAGCTGTGCATTGTGAGCGTGCGATGAGACAAGTATTACTGGGTGTGCAAAATTTGGATTTCCTGACTTGATGATTTGCTGTGTAAGTATTTGCTTTTATTATTAATTTAATCCAGAAGTTCTCCCTGCATGAAGACCTACCATATATGTTAGTTTTCACTGTGGTGGCAGCAAATAAATGCTTTCGGGGAAAACATTTGTGGAAGTGGGAATACAGTTAGCCCTTTTAAATCCTACTCCATTAAGTATGTGAAATAGCAGGACTGCAAGAGTTACATTTTGACTTATGTCTAAAACAAGACCAGTTGCATTTTCAAGATAACAGCTTATCATAACTAACCATTTTCAGCTTTAAAATCGTAGTGTTCCAGATCGACAAAAATAGTGTAGCATCTGTCTCCATGAATTAAATCTGATTTGAGTTAGGTAAACAAACATTAAAGACTTTTGGTAGTTGTCTTTCTTCTATCCCTTGCTGCTGATTTGTCCAAATAAACAACTTCAGAGATTTTCTGTGTGTCTTACCAGCTAAGATAGCATTGTATCTATCATGAGGCTTTTCTGAGATTGATGTGCAGGGGCTGCTATTTTTCACTTGATGATAGTTCATTCTTTAGTTCTATGACCATGCTTACCACAAGCAATTTGCTGGTTTCAGGATTGGATGGGTTTTTCTTTATTGACAAAATTGAATAATGGCAGTCTCAGTAATATCAAAGTCGTGACACTGCCCTGTAGGCACCGCTCAGAGATTGTAAAGTGTTTTACATCTCTGAGAAGTCTCGTTTCAAGACACTGATTGTGGCCCTGCACTCACAAACCTGATAGCATATGCTACAAGTGTATTGTGCTTAGCTTTCTGTATTTCATGACTCCAAGATGCCCAGCAGGTTTTCTGCTCAGATGGAGGTAAGTGGTACATGCAAAGTTCAAAATCAGATCTTCTGCACATATGTGAAGTATTACATGCCAACATATGTACAGGAATTGCAATCAGACCTGCTCACTACCTGAGTGATGAAGAGCTCTCTGCCCAATGTATCATTTATCTGGCCAAGAGTTAACGCTCTGAACTGAGCTTGGGTCTTCCAAACAGTGTAAACATCTGCTTTGATGCTGAGCTCAACAAAATTATTTAGAGGCTGTTCTGACTTCCATGAGACAAGATTATGTGCCATGTCACTCATAAATCTAAGTTCAAAAAAGAGAAGAAAATAAAGGCTATTTTTTGGATTGTTCTCAAGGGTTGGGCTTTTTTGGCCTGGTTTGTCAATAGCAGTTGCTGTCTCTATAACTTGCTGAATTCAGAAAACAAAGAATCGGCTTAGTTTTATTCTGAAGAGAGCAGCCAAGGAATTAACAGTAACAGAAATCTGAATTCTGTACTGATGGAGAAGAGCTCAGAATTAAGACTCGGACTGACTTGTCCAAGAACAGTGGCATGGAAATGTGAGCTGTAAAGTCAAATGCTGGCATGGGTTTTATGCTTCTCTAGTGCTTCACCTGCATAGTTGGTCATAAATGTTAAAGCAATGCATCTTGACCTTGTTCTAAGGCTCTGTGAAGACTCCATGGAACTATTCAGCTTTAAAGCCTTTGCTAACCACGTGAAGATCTTATTTGGCTGCACATCCGTGAAGCACATGTACTGTTGCATTAAAATCTCAAGTGCCTGTGGTTTCACAGCACATTCATGAAATGGCTGGAGAAAGAAATCCACTCAACAAGTAATTCTTTCAGCTACCAGTTACACCTCCTTCACTGACTACAGTTTCATATTCAGCCAGATACATACAAAGTGTCCTTATTGCTATGTAAGATGCTCACATTGATCACCTGTATGAAAGAATTCAAGCATCACGTGATCTGAAACCTTTACTTTTGTTCTCATTTTACTTCTGGATTATTGTAAATCTTCAGAATATTGACATGAGATGCACACTCATAAATGGTAGATACGTTAATTTGGCAGGTCAATGGCAATCTCACTTTCAGTATTTCAAGCTTGATTTTTCATTTATTTTAGTATGAAAATTTTGTATTGATTACCATGGGTTGTACACTCGTTCTGTGCACTGCTTTTCTTTTATGCACAATGTAGCTAAAGGAAATCATTTAACTGCTGAGCCATTGTTCTATCTGATAGATAAAAGTAAGAAAATTTATTCCAAATAGATAGAGGTTTTCATTGGATGGTGTCAGTGGCTGTACTGCATTCATAGAGGACTTTCTTTTTTGCTATTGCAGAGACAGAAGTGTTTTCATGAAACTGCTGATTTGCTTTGAGTTCTGTTTTGTTTGTGTCACTTCATTTATCTGAGATAAAATACAGTTAATGCAGGAACACAGTAAAGGAAAGGAGATCATAAAATAGCTTAATCTCTGAATTGGATAAGTTGGTAAAGCAGCACAGTGTTATAAAGGCTTCCATAGTTTGTATGTGTGGTGGAAGACAATAATTATTTAGAATATCCTTTAATATGTCTGTGTGGTGCCCAGCATTATAAATGTAAGAACGTAAGATTCTGGTGAAAGACAATTTTGCCAAGTCCTTTAAGAACTCTTACAGGTAATCATCTGAGCTGTAACTAAAGAGTCTCAGCTCTGGTTTTGGAATTATATCAAGTGTACCATATATGGTCATTTAAGCTCTTGTATTAAAACAACTAAAATAACAAAATGTGACAAATTCATTGCATAGTTTATGCAAAAGTTTTCGATACGGCAGAAAAGTTCATATTCATATACCATCATTCTTATTTCTTGAATTTAAGACAAGGATTCTTTTATTCTGAGTAACACAGTTTTTATTGATTTCTTTGTTTCCTCAAATACAGATCTGCAGGCTGCAGCGTCACCTATCAGCAGGAAACTACCAGCTGAATCTGTTTGCAAACCAGCCTGTGATGTTTGTATCTCCCACCAGCCAGCCACCCTGCAAAAAGCTGATGGAGCTTATAGAGCTGTCAGGAGGAAAAATATGTAAAGCCCTACGTCAGGCAAAAATCTGCATAGGAAAATACCCAGGAAAGAAGTATCAGGAAATAAAATGTTTATCAGAAAAATGGATTTTAGGTAAGATGGAATCACAGAATCACAAAATGGCCCAAGTTGGAAGGGACCTCAAGGATCATGAATCTCCAACTCCCCTGCCACCAACCTCCCCATTTAATACTAGACCAGGCTGCACAATACTTCATAAACACTGTACTTCAACACATATAAAACATTTGGGAATATGTATTCAAAAATTGACTGTAAAGAGTTTACTAAATTGAGGCTTTAGAGAGAAGAAAGTGAGTGGACTGTTACCAGTAGGTTCCCAAGAAGACTGTCTCTGTGGTGAGAACTTTCTGTTAAAACTAACACTACTTTATGATGATCCTGCTACTCACCCTTATAATTTTACCAAGAAACAATTTAATCCAAAGATTTTCAAATTTATCTTGTATATGACTGCTTCACTTAGAACAAACTAGAAATGGGAAAACTCCAAGGGAGAATTACTTTAAAAGGCACATATGCCAGTGAGCTGCATGGAGCTTGATGGGCCAAGCTGAGCCCATCAGTGGAGCTGGAAAACTGTGTATCCAACTGCATGGAGTCTCACACATTAGATAAAGGACTGAGTTCTTTGTGCCTTTTACACATTTCTCAGATTTCTTTTGCATTCTGATAGTGCTTTGAATAATATATATGCTATATTCTGCCCATGCAGATGGGTTTGACGCAATGAATCTGCGGAACTTGTAAAACATAAGTGTTTCTATATAATACCTTACCAGGTACAGGTCTTTGAAACTTAGCCCCTTTCTCAGTAACATAATGATAGAATAATAAAAGCAGTGACAGCCTGTCCCTACAAATTGTCATCTTAATCAAATAAATCAAATCAAATCTGAAGTTATCTTATCTTTGACACCTCAGTGTTACGATCCAGTATGTTTGTGTTTATCTGCTGCAAGCACCAACTGCCAGTAAATTCACTCAAAGGTGACCACAACAAAAAGCCTATTCGTAAATAATGCTGCACCTTTGTTAAACTTAAGCAAATTGTGTTTGCAGTATTATCATCTGACTGCATTTATTTTTAGCGTCTTTCTCTGTCTGTTTTAGATCAGAAATTGCTCTGAAATACATTACTGCTCTACAATCTGTTTCTTGTGCACTTGATCTCAAACAATCCTGCCTTTTTATTTCTTCTAGATTCAATCACTCAGCATACAGTATGTCCTATGGAAAACTACATTTTTCAGCTGTGAGCTAACTCAAGAGCTTCCATATGGCTGTAAGGAAACAAGCCCACTTTGGTCTCAACAACTAACTAAGCTGTGAATAAAATCTCTAAGAGAATGCTAATTACCTATTTATAAATATAGTTAAATGTTTTTATATTTTTATTACTTGTGAAAATGACAATTTTTGTTTTCTTTTAATAAAGTTCTTTGATCAAAGTCATCATGCTTCCATTTATTTGTTGAAGAACCTTTGGACCTAAAAGTTGAGTGAGTCATTACTCACTGGGAGGAAGTGGAAAGATGCTTCCCAATCCCTAAGTGGATTTGATCCTGTTAAGGTGCAGGTAACTGCTGTATGTGCACTGTGTGCTGGAGCTAGCTTTAGTGTAGTTAGCAGGAGCTGTGCTGCCAGGGCATGGATTCCATAGGGTCCCACTTGGACAGCTGGAGTCCCATGCTGCTGTGTTTTTATGAATCATAGAATGACCTGGCCTGAAAAGGACCACAATGATCATCCAGTTTCAACCCCCCTGTTATGTGCAGGGTCACCAACCACCAGATGAGGCTGCCCAGAGCCACATCTAGCCTAGCCTTGAATGTCTCCAGGGATGGGGCATCCACAACCTCCTTGGGCAAACTCACACCTCCCATTGTAAAGTTCTAACTTATATTTTCAAAAAATAATTGAAACTCGGTAAATATGCTGAGGTGCCTTTAAATGCCTCACATCTAGGCTGAAACTGTGAACAGTTACTGATCCTGAGTCAAATGAATTAAGGCAGCACATCATGCATACGCTGTTGAAAATCAGACTTATCACCACATACTTTGGGTATGTTTGAAAAATGTATACAAGTGTCCTAAAAGTTAAAATTCTCTTCAATCTGTATATTTGTTTTCAATAGGTGTAAAGATTTGGATATTAATTATGTTGTGATGCATGTTTAGTTATAAAGGCACAACTTTCTTTAAATATTTGCAGGATCCATTGCAATAATATATCATCATTGCAGAGAATAATGTGTTATCCGGTAACTTAATGGCAGCTCATAACTCATACCTTCCAAACTCCACGCTCCCCAGAGTACTGTCAAACAATGGAAAACCTGTACTGAAAACAATGATTTCAAATGAATATTATGGGACCACCAAAGTACAATGATTTATAAATACTGCTGTTCTACTACACTGCTACAGCTTCTTGGACCTGGAATGGAATTGGAATGCACCTTTTCTTTAAACTTGAGGGCTATCCAGTTTTTTTTCTTCAGAGGTTTAGCAGTGTCTGGGTGGCAGGCTGTTCAGTCCCAAATTAGCATTGTTGCTCTGTAAAATGTACCCATTTTACACATCATAAATGTATAACAAAAGTTTCCCATAATAATGGGAAAACTCCAAGTTAAGATTATATTAGGGAGAATTAAACTGACTTTATTTTCAGAAATACCAAGCAGTTGCAATTCAAAAAGATGAGATCTTGTTTTCAAATATACGAGTAATGCAGAGCTTTGTTTTAGATACAAACTAGGAAATATAATTAATTTGCATCTTTTACTTGCTTGGTTTTCTGACACACACATTCTTAACAGTGTCTTACCTCAGAAAAAATATGTTTGATACAAGAATTAATAATCAGGTCCCTCTGCAAATCCGACTGCTTAAAATTGAAACTATTTACCTAATGACTGCAGAGCACTGGCAATACGGTATCACTCTTCACCCTTGACCTTATGAGCCCCTTTATTAAGAAACCAGTTGCCAAGGCCTATAGACCAAAATAGAAATACTTAAATAAGTTGTGACATGTGAACATACGGTTCCCAGTAAGTAAGAGAACCATTTGTTTGAATTATATTGCTTAACTTTGAGTATTACGACCTCCTAGTTTATTTTGCAGTCATTTCCTAAGTGTACTACACATAGAAATCTGTCACTATTAATTTATACAATGTAACATTCCAAATCAGTTTTCTCATAAATCTTCTTAAGATGAATCTCAACTATTTAAATTGTAAATTCTTGGATCAGCATGTTGATCTTTATTAGTCACACGTGTAACAGACTTGACTGTGAAAAGTCTAATATGCTTTTGTTTTAACTAAAATGTTTCAATCTATCAATTGAGATAATTTCCACTTAAATTACATGATTTGCTAGATATCACTGTGTCTGTTGACTGCTCTTGCAATGTCTGTTTAGGAAAACGTAGCCAGCAGGAAATTAAATGCCTAATTTTGGTCTCGTGAGGTTGGTGAGAGAAGAGCTGTACAGCCATATTGTCTGTTGTTTGGTAATAGGACATAGCAAACGTAGGAGTGATTAGAATTCCAAAGACAAGTGTGTTGTACAGGCAGCAAAATGAATCACAGAGTCGTAGAATCATAGAATGGCCTGGGTTGAAAAGAACCACAGTGATCATCCAGTTTCAACCCCCCTGCTATGTGCAGGGTCACCAACCACCAGACCAGGCTGCCCAGAGCCACATCCAGCCTGGCCTTGAATGTTTCCAGTGATGAGGCATCCACAACCTCCTTGGGCAACCTGTTGCATTGCCTCACCACCCTCTGTGTGAAAAACTTCCTCCTAATATCTAACCTAAACCTCCCCTGTCTCAGTTTAAACATTCATTTTTTATAGCCCAGAGTCTTTCACACAAGCAGCTTCTGATCTATTTACCTCAACGTGGATTCTTGAACACCTCAGCTCTGACAGGGAGATGCGCTTCTACTCCAGACCTTAGCAGGAGAAGAGGCCAATGTTGACTGTTCCTTACGTCAGCAAACTCCAGAGGGAGAATGATGAAAACTTGCCCAATGTTTCATTTGCCAGAAGAAATCAGCCAACCAAAATAAACTTGCACTTGATACCAAGGTCCTAAGTACAACAATAAGCCAGGGAAAAAAAAAGAAAAAAAAAAAGAAAAAAAAAAAAAGGCACAAAACCCATCAGCATGAAATGGATTCACGGGTAGTTCTGAGCTGATTGGTTCTAAGACCTTCCCAAAGCGCCGTTCTTCACTGATGTTCTGCCACAGCTCAGCACTGCTGCACACTGCAGCACTGAATGCTATCAGACTTGCCTTAGAAGCAAGCTGCTTTTTGATTTTTTAATTTCCTTTTTTGTTTTCAGTCAGGCTTTTCTGTGGGGGAAAGGTTTTCTCAACCTCAGCTTTTTTTTACCCTGCGTGACTGTCTTTGCCATTCATTTGTGAAAATGGCTTAGCTGCTATCTGTGCTTCTCAGGGCTCCCACACCCTGCCTATGCAACGTCTCCAACAAAATCACATTGTCATGATTAAAGAATCATCTTAGTTAGCTTATTTTGATGAGGAATCTGTTCAAACCAAAAATAAATAGAAAAGCCAAAATAAGTATTATTCCTTCCTGAGATTTACATTGGCTGAGTTAATTTCTAACAGCAGTTTAACTCTCAGCATAGATCCTATTTCAACACATTCTACTTGCATTGGTGGGAGAGGTGGATCTGGATCTTGTATTGGTGGGAGAAGTGATACCATCTGGATGCACAAACCACCACTATCTCTTCCCTCCTCTTTTTCCGCAGACAAAGGGATGCTTTACCACACTTCACCTAGCTTACTGGGGACCCACACTGGCAAGTACAGCAATACTGAGGCAAAACACCAGCATGACATTGGAGAGTGTGTTGTTTAAGTTGTGTCAGCACAATGATGGTAGCAAAACTGCAGTCTTGTTCAAATGGTATATCCTTAAAACAAACCAGGATACAAAACATTTTCTGCATTGTTACAGTGACTAAAAATGTAAAATTGGCTAAGGATGCATCTGAAAGCCAGAACTGCTGGAAGCTTTTAAGGCAGGTAGAATATACATCCCTTTTTCTCCTTTCTCTGTTTTTGTAATCAGTTTTAGATGCAACTGCATTTAGGATGCATATATCGAGTGAGTAAAAACTATACATTCACAGCGATCCTAGCTGTGAACCATCTGGTGTTGGTCATTAAAATACAGGTAGTAGCTGTTGAGCTACTTTTATGCTTCTGGAAGATTTCCTGATTCATCCATGGGCAGCTTTTTGGGGGGTTGTTACTATTTTTAATAATAGCTAGCAAAATTATTGCATCACTTGAATTTCAGTTTGCAGTTCCACTATGAGAAACTTCTATTAATTGATCTGTATAGAAGATAGTTTAGGCACAAATGCATTATGTAGGAAAATGTTAACAGTACATTTAGTGCTAGCATACGCATTGCTCTTTTTTCCACTTTTTTTTTTTAACTGATTTTTAATTATTTATTGTTATTACTATTACTATTATAATTGGGTAGCGTCTAATCAACTTAAGAACTGTAGAGTTCCTGAAAGTGTCATTTGTAGAGCATAAGATAAATGTATCCAAGGAACAATATCTAGAAAACTGATTAAACCATTTTTTTCCTCAAGAGCAACTCACAGCCCAGAGGACAAAAAAAAAAAAAAAAAAGGAATATTCACTCTGACTGGAAACTGGAAAGCATGAAAACTGTGTCTGTGCCAGCGGTCTGACTTCTTTAATGACAGATCTAATAACAGAAAGCCAAATGACTGCAGTTCTACTGCATTAGACAGATTTTTATTCCTGATCTCCTTTTATTGCTGTTTTTCAGAATCAGCTCTTTGCATGACATGACCAAATGGAGGATTCTGGAACAGCATCACCCTCACTGCAGCATGGAGCAGCAGCTCAGGGCACAATGGTTTCAAACTGGCAGTGGTAACAGATAACAGCTGTTGCTGGGCTTCTCAGCACAGGTGCCTGCTTTTGCTCTGAGCTGGCAAAGCAATGTTTTTCTTCTGCTGACACAGGTGTGGAACAATCCTCCAGGCACCACAGAGCAGCTCAGGCTCCTGTGCAGAGCTGAGGTATTGATGGGCAGCTGCCAGATGTAAGGCAAGGTAGGACTGCACGTTTCTTTGAGCTGAACAAGTTAACATTCCTCAAAGGGACCCTCAGGGGCTGGGGCCCACTGCTGGGAATGGAGCCCTCCTAGCTCATGAGACCTGAACTTTCATGTGACTTCTTCCATCCCAGCTCATCTTGTTTGCCTTGTATCTTCTGCTCCTAAAGCACCTAATCTACCACCAGAGACAGAGCTGTCCCTTGGAGGTCATTTCCCAAGGAGATTTATCAATGACCAGAGTGCTTTCTATGCTGTTTTCCAATCTATAGAAATTTTGCAGTTACATATGAGGTGCTGCAGGTGTTG